CACCTTTACCACCATTGGGTGAAGTCCAATAACCCATACGATTACATTGATGAGTTTTATCATCACATTCCAATGAACATTTACCAGAATTAAAATCATCAAAGTTAGGACATGAATAACCTAGATATGGACATTGATTACGAATTGAATCAGTAAAGAAATATACAGCAGCTAAATGACTACACAATGATGTTACCAAAAAGCCTAGAAAATTAAAAAAAAATACATACATGTAAATATATTTATATTAATTTCGGTGTTTTACCTTCAATATTCATTGTTCCGAGTTGAAGAATAAGATTTAAAATTTTGCCTGGTGTCTTTGAACAACTAGGTTGATCAAGACCACCATTAGGAAAAAAGTCAACATGACCCATTCGTTGAAGAGAACCTAAGAAGATTAAATTTTTGTAGAATATTTAACTAAGTAATTATGAAATTGTGTTATATATATATGTATATACCAAGTCCAAGAAGAAGATTAGGAGCACCATCAGTATGAATAACATCAACAAATAAAGCATCAGTTGGATCTAGACGGACAGCTGGATCAGTATTTTCAAAATAAGGACCAGCAGGATCCAATCCTATAATAATTAGACAAGGTTTAAAATAAATTTCTCTTAATGAATATTTACCAGTAATTCGACCCAATCCAGGAATTCGTGCTCCAGCATAACCTGCTGTTTGACCACCAAGAGAATGACCGATAATATGAAAGTCCGTTGCTTTCGATCCATGTTGCGCGATCAAATAATTGACAAATAAAGCAATTTCTGCACCTACTATTTGAGTATTTGCCGCTCCTTGCTCATACGGAAATCCATTTTTTTTCGACCAATCAACCAAAATCACATTAACATCTTCCTAAAATGCATAAAAAATGTAGATAGATCGATGTTAAAACTAAACTTCTTTAGATATAAATATGTACTGCATCAAGGATTGCATTTTTCAAATCTATCCACCATGGTGTATTCATGCTATCTACAAAGCCATGAATGCAAACTTTTGTTGGTTTGCTTGGACTCCATGCACCAAGAGTTGTGTAGCGACTGATTTCAGTACGATTTCTACGCGTAGCTCTTGTATATAAATAGTATTTAGTCTCAATCGCAGCATTCTACAGAAAAACAAAAAATAGATTTGAGGAAAACAAAAAATAAGAAAGAATTCATCATGAAATTGTACTCGATCAGGTAAAAGGGCAAATGGTCGTTGTAATGTTCCACCTAGTTTTGAAAAGCATTACATTATCAATAAATAATAACAACAAAATTATTTTTTACCGAATGGTTTTGACGTAGTAAAACATCCATATTCACCATAACAGACATTGGATCCTCGTGTAGCAGGAACTATATTTATGTATTTTGAAATTAATCATATTCAAATAAAAGATATACTAACCTGAAAGAGACTCTTCATCAGCATGAACTGCGAGGATAGCGAAGCATACAAAAGTAACAGCAATGCGAAATAACATCTTAGTCGATGCACACACCTACTGACTTTCCTTCTCAGGAAACGAGTGATATTATATAAAAAATTTCAATCGTGCTCAGATTATTTCGTCAAAATGGAACAATTAGCTGAGAAAAACGACCATCTGTTTGTAACACAGTTTAAGGCATATAATACAATTTTTTTTTTGTTTTTTTATTTTTCTTAAGATAACAAGTCAGATAAGTCAGCCCGTTTTCTTTTA